TCTTTCAATTTTTCAAGTATATTTTATTTTTTTTAATTTAGTTTAAAGCTTAGCACAAAAATATATAATGTTAAAAATTAGAAAGTAAAAGTACTAATTTTCCTAAATCATTTTATTTATATTATAATCATACGTAATATACATAAAATCGTGCATTAAGTATTACAACTCTAAACATCTTAATATGTTTTTACATAAATATACGTATAACATAAGTATACCTCACTATATAAGTTAGTATAAGTAATTGGCTTTCAAATAATCACAAATAATATTTCGAAGTACGTATGCTGCATAATAGATTTTCAAAATCTTTTTTTACAATTTACCATAAAGAAAGTTCCGACTATACACTGCTAGGACTGAAAATTTATAGCATACCTAACGTGAATTATAGATTTTCAATAGTGGCATATATATCGAAACACAGCCATTAATTATTAGTGCTTTTCACTGTGCACATTAAAGCTGTTGTACATTAATCTAATCTGTCTGTAAAAGTGAGAGATCAATTAATCAAATACCCAATATATATATTATCAAATATCAACAATAAAATGTATTAAGGATTTCGTGGTTTAATTTATTTCTATATTTTTATTAAACGTACATTTTTATGTCGATTTGTGTGACAACGGCTTTAAAGTGCATTGAGTGTGCACCAGCCAATGGAAAACGCTATATGACGATTTAAAAAGCTACAAGAACAAAGAAACACAATTAACTAACTCCTTCCAATTTTAATAAGTTTTGCAATGCCATATTAACACTAGAGACTAACATAGGCTATAGGTCTGTTTTTTATTGATGCATTCTGAATCGGTGCAATAAGTTGAAGTGAAATAAACGTATATTTGTTTCATTTCAACTTATTGCACTGTGTGCACTAATTCATAGAGTGCAGCAATAAAAAACAGATTTTTTGCCTAGGGGCGGTGAGTTTAGGAGGGCGGCATTTTTTAAAAAGAAGTTCTAAAAGATAACTGTTTTTTGTTAGACGTGAATGATTAAGAAAATTTTCCATCACTAAAGATTTGTTCGCTGTCGCTTCAATATGCTCCTACTCATTTCAACAAGCGCATTAGGTAAAAAAAAACGTATATATATCATGAAAACAGAAGGTTAATAGAGTAGTGGTGCAACACTTATACCAGCAACGGCGCAACAGATGTGATGCGTATTTGTGCTAATAAAAGTCAATCCTGGCAGTTCTCATTAGCATAAATATGCATCACATCCATTTTTAACACTACGATTTTATCGATAGTTTCGTAAAATAGATCTAGACCTAGTTTCTATATCACAAAAATGGATTGGTGCGCTGGTGTAAGCGTTGCACGAAAAAGGCTGGCAAGGCTCTTCTCAGGTTCTCTCTTTGGTTCTAAGTTTTTTTATTAACACACTTCGAGCGCGAAAATAAATGCAGAAACTCTTTTTTTTGTTATTCCTTTCGACTACATGATTGTTAAAGAGTTGAATGAAGGCTGTAAGTATTTACTACTTAGAGACAGAAAAATCATAATCTGTCCCCGAAGTTTTGGATACATTAAAATATAAACAAAAATAAAAGATACAATTTTTATTATATGTACTGAGTCGCAAATTAAGGAAATGAAAACCTCCCTTAAAAAAAAATCAATCATTTTCTTTCATAATGAATATTGTCAAAACTA